CTGCCTGCCCTCGCATCCTTCCATCTTGCTGCTCACCTCCCTCCCCCCCCTCTGTCTGTCTGCCTGTCTCCCTTCCTCTCCGCCCCCCCCCTCCGGATCTGCTGCTCACTTGTGTCTTAAGGTCTTGGCCAATGTGGGATTGATGTTTCAATATTGGAAGGGCTTTGATTTACAGTAGCTGCAGGTCAGGCTCCAGGATCCGCTTCTGGGGGGGGGTTCCTGTCCATACCCCCCACCCTCGTCCCCCACTTGCCCTCTCCTTCCTTCCCCTTTATTTTCCTGCTTTCCGCTGAGGTGTGTGTCTGTGTGTCCCCTTTCCCCTCACACCCTTCGCCTTAAAAAACAACTGCCACCCTGCTTTAAAAATAAAATAATAATGGTCTGGCAGAAACAGCGGCTTCTCCATCTCTCCCTTGCTCCTGGCTCCCCTGCTTTTTCTGCCCCCCTCAGGCTGGCTGGCTCTTCGGTAGCAAAGCGACAGCCAAGGGCTGCCTAGGCTGAGCTCTCTTTTTACCTTGCATCTCTGTCATCACTGTGCTTTGCTGCTTTGAGGGGTGGAAGATAAGTATTTTCTTGATTGAAGCTTATTTTATCAGTCTGCAGGAAGTCGTCCGGATGCATAAATGGGGCCCCAGAAGCAGGAAAGTCAGACTGTCCTCTAGGCTCCCTTCTCCAGCCTGTGAGGAGGAGCTGCTTTGCAAAGAGGCAGCAGATCAGGGCTTGCCATGCTTCCAAGGCTGGCTAGGAACAGAGCTGTTTTGATAAAAGGACAAAATTAAACTGCGTTATAAGCAGGGTTTTAAAACATATTAAATGACACATAAATGAGGAGGATGACACACACAAGATTTTAACATGCACAAGCAGAAATCATGATACCTACTCTGGATTTAGCCTCAATGTTTGAAATATGCTTCTTTCTCTCATTATGGAGCCCCATGATTTCCACCTCTCTTGCTTATGTGCATGTGCAAAGTGTCTTCTGAGCCAGCCTTGCCTCCATAATGCTCACAACACATCCTGTTATAACCATCTAGTGGGAACATTAAGCCTCCTTGGTGCAAACTTTCTGTTGCTTTTTCTTCTATATTTCCTTCTCTTTTGCACAACGCTCCAAACTACATTTTAAAGAAATAGATAGACAAGTCTGCTGCTCAGGAGGGGCGATGGAAAGGTGAAGGCCCTGGTTATATAGCGGAGACTGCGGAGAAGGACTATGCTGTAGGTAACCTATCTGGCGTGCACAGGTGTAGGTGAGGCAATGTATGCCTGGTAATATTCTCTTGGACACTGGAAGCCAGACTCCTCCAAGCAGAGGGGGCAAGCTGAGGCTACAGCTGGATGAGGACCATGGTGGAGGTGAAGGAGCAGATCCAATATATGCCTTGCTAGTTTGCCAACTGCCATGGCTCAAGCAAGGGAGCCAAGCCATGTGGCATGGGTGGGGTGCAGTTTTGAAAGTGGCTGATAGATGTAGGACCCTCAAGATTTTGCGGAGAACAGGTGGGTCCGTTCATTTTGCGAAGGCCAGTGGTGTTGGCTTTTTGTTGCATACTGGCAGCACAGATGTAGTCCTTTGAAGCGGAGCCTCCAGGGAGGAGAGAGCCTAGTGGTTTCAGGCCAGGTGAAGAGATCCAATCTGTAGAAGCAAGAGGACACACTGGTACCTGAAGCAGCGCAGGTGATGCATCTCCATTAGGCGCTCCCGTGGCAGCAGGAGATGGTTATTGATTCCTCTACTGATGGTAGGAGACGTCTCCGCTAGGGAGTGCCTGGATTCCCCGGAGGGATTGATATTCGCCAGGCGAACTGCTTTTGCGGCAAAGCAATTTAAATGCAAATGTTTCAATCTGGAGCTTGCGAAGGAGCCGGCCAGCATGGCGTTCACTCTCTGTCCCAATTGGAGGGCTGGGGTGGCTGCTCCTCTGACACTGGCTTAGGCAGAACCTTGCTGCCTTTTGGCTTGCTAGCAGGATGGGGGGGGGGATGCGGCTCTTGGCTGATAGCTGGGATGTGTTGGAAATGCAGGTCAGTGGTGTCCCAGCTTCTGACCTGTTCAAAGTGGGGGAAGTGATTCCACAGAGCACAGACCTGCTTGGCCTTTTTGTGAAAAGCTGCAGGGAAAACTGATTCCCCAACCTCCCATTGCAGGCAGATAGCTATTGCAATACGTATCTGCCTGCCATGGAAGGTTTTGGCATCTGTTTTCCCTGGAGCTTTTCACAAAAAGGCCAGACAGGCCTCGATCAGGATGCCTTGAGGTGTGGAGTTAGATGATCTGACCTGCATGAGCACTTCTAGTTATCTGATACCTTCATTGCTTTATTCCCACATGCAAAGGGCTCTCTACGTGCCCTGATTTTCTGTTCTCTACCTATCACAAGGAGTTGAGAGGTTGCAACTTACCACTCCAGATTCTCAAAGCAGCCAGACCTGAGGTTTGACGTTCTGTCCAAACTAAGAGCACCTTTTTTTGTAATATCAGTGAGAGGTGGGAATGTAAACATTGTGTTATTTATTTGGAATTCAGAACCTGAACATCCTGGGCTAAAGGCAGATCGTATTATGGTGGTTTCCCCTCTCTCCAGAGTTGAAGGCAGGTTTGAAAGAGGACTTTCTGCTTGTGGTGTATATACACTCTTACCACTTTTTCCTCTGATAAACCAGCATTGTAATCTGTACAAGGAGAGAAGAAAGTGCGCCAGAAGAAACGTGTGTGCACATCATGGGACGTGATGTCTCTCCCCACCCACTTTGCCTCTCTCAGAAACCTGCCTCCTTGGTGTCAAGCGGCAGTATGTCAGCCGGCCGGCCCCCAGCCAAGTCTCCGGGGTTTTTCCATTGGACCTGTGGAATTGTCATAGAAACAGATATCATAACACAGCAAGACTGCAGAGTTTACCATAGTTTTTAGGACTGTTGAAAGTGGTTTGACACAGGTTTCATTTCCCTTTTGGTACATTTTTTGCCCTGCTGTGTCAACTCTGAGGTGAAACAGGTTTTGTTGCCATGTTTTTAAAAACTGCCAAAACCTGTTCAGCAGATGTGAGAGCAGGAAGAGTGTGCATATTACAAGCCCTCCTTTAAACTGCCTTCTGCTCTCTGGGGTGGGATGGTATCATTGGTGTCATTAGGCAACATCCAAAATATATTTGGGGGTACAGAATCTGGATATTTTCTGCACCCAGTATGCATCATGCCGTGGCCCTTAAGCGAGCTGGCAGTACGAGGTAACCACGTACACATTTTCCCTGCCTCTTTTTCAGCTTGTGGAGGAGTCGTCCTTCTTGACCACTGATATGCTGGAGACCTGCTTCCCTTACGTGCTGCTGCGCAATGCGTACCGAGAGATCTCCAGGAGCTCAGCCTTGAGCCGGCTTCCTACACATTGACAACCTTTTCCCTTCACCGATAACTCAGAAGGTCACAAGCTGCAGCTACCCACCACCACATAAATGCAGAACTACCTTAGAAAAGATAAGCAGGGTAGCAGAGGATAGTTAGAATTGGTGCTTCTCTTACGTGCCTTAAGTTACGATCTAATGGCAAGAGTGTCGAACTTCTAGATGTTTCTGCAAAAGAGCTGCTGGTGAGCTTGCTTTGGCTTAGATAATTGCTTGTTCACAAAGCTGAGCAGTGGGCAGCAACATGCTAATTTTGTGTGCCACTTCCATGACAGTTGCCAGCCCCTGTCAGGCTGCTTATTAGCGCCAGAGATGCCACAGGCTCTGCCATTTGCGGCTTTCATGGTTTTATTAAAAATATGCCACATTTCATTTGCCAGTGTTGAGATCCTATTTAACCCAGGACTGCCCATGCCATCACTTTTGGCTTAGTAGTTGCCCCTGCAACAAAGCCTAAGTAAAGATATCTGCTCACATTCTTCCTATCTTCCTCTTGCTTCTGTCTTCCTCCTGTCAAAATTTAGATTGTAAGCTCCTTAGCAGCAGAAAAGCAACTTTAAAACATAAATTAAAGCTTACATTCTGCAAAGTGTCACAAACTTCAGTAGCTCTATGTCAATAAACAATAACAACAACAACTCCTCAAAAATGTCTTGAGACATACACATGCCAGAAATTTAAGCTGGCTTTCCTGTCATGCCTTCCTTATGGAAAATCCTGGGAATTGCAACTTTGTGAAAACTGGAAAATACTCTTCTTCTGCTGCGCACTTGCTTTCCATGGGGACCGTTCAGTGGCAATGAGGTGAGATGGAGCCAAATAAGCAACCCCCCCAGGGGAAGCATGGCTGACAGGTAAGGCCTGCGTTTTTGTGAGTAGCAGGGCTTACTCAGGTGCCATGCTGAGCCCTGCAGGGTGAGGCAAAAAGTGGCTCCACTCTCCTCATCGCCAGACCAGGTGGCAGCGGTGTGAGAGAGCTGTATAACTTAGAATCCTCCAGCCTTTGAGTTGGAAGGGTCCTTGCTCATCAAGTCCAGCCTGATTCTTTGGGGCAAAAATAAATGAATGGTCCTTGTCTAAACCCTTTTGTATCTTTTTTTCTGAAATACCTTTATCATATATGACTTTATTTTTTGCTTTGGACATTTTCAAATATGAAAATGCATTTAAAGTCACTTGGTTTTAAGAAATAATAAATACTTTTAATGGAACCAGTTTATCTCACTTGCTCTGTTTTTTCAGTGCTTCATTGTGCTTTACATGTAAACAGTTTATGACAAATCCCTTTTTAATGTTTTATTTGCACATTTAACAAGAAAAAGGGGAAAGCTAACAAAGAGGAGGGAAGTGAAGGGTGGGATTCAACTGAGCTTGTGTGCACAGAATGAGGTTTGCTTGTGCAATGGGACTCACTCTCACCTTGAGAACACACAGGTGCTGATACTGTTAACAGCTTTTTTAAGACAAAGAAACAAGTACTTTTTTACAGAATGCATGATGAACTATGCAACTCATTTTGCCAGCTATTTGTAACAACTACTACCATATAATTTTTAAAACTTTGTATGACTGACTTACTGGCAGCTGAACACAATGGCTGGGTTAGCACAGTTGGTAGAGAATGAGACTCTTATTCTCAGGGTTGTGGGTTTGAACCCCACGTTTGGCAAAGGATTCCTGCATTGCAGGGGGTTGGACTAGATGACCTTTGTGGTCCCTTCCAACTCTACAGTTTTATGATTCTACATCCTCAGTGTTCGAATGTCACATGTGTCTGACAACCAGATGCTGAGTTAGGTGTGAACATCAGCATTGTGAACCTGCCTCCTCCAGCATCTGCCTGGCCTTTGGGGGAAGAGGAGGTCCAACTCCAGATGTGCTTATGTTCAGACTGCTTCTTCTGAGTCCTGAATCCCCAGAAGAGCAGTTGGAGCATGATATTGCTGCAAGTATGAACTAGAGCAGGAGCTCTTGACTGGAGAAGCAAAGAGGATATTTCTCAGTTCTTTCGGTCCATCTTAAGGAGTCCAGATCTGCCCTGGGTGGCTTCTCTTCCTCCCCATGCCAAGTAGCTGAGGAGGAGATGAATTCCTTCCACAGGCATAGCAACCATATTGTTGTGCAGAGGGGACAGACAAGCTGTAAAATGTAAGTTGTAAACCTGCCTATTCCAGAGCTGACTCATTCCTGAGAAACTGCAGGCAGCCAAGCAGAGACGGACCTGGCACACGCAAAAGTGTCAGCAAGACCCTTCTTCGTGTAGAGTTGACTGGAGTCGGAGAGGGGGGGGATCATCAGGAATCATCAGATGTAGAGGTGTGTGTCCACAGGAGTGCACCAGCCTCAGGATCCATGTCCAGCCTGGTGACTGCTCCTCTATGCATGCTACATAGAACTAAGGGCTTAAGGCTGCAATCCTTTGCCCTCTTTTCTAGGAGAAAGCCCCTTTGGCCAGACCTTCCACTTTGAGCAGGCAGATACAGGATTGTACCGCAATCTCTTTAAAAAGAGGGTAGTTCCCCAGGGGCAAAACTACTTGCCCATCAATAAGGTTTGCAGCAACACAATAAATAGCACCGTCTCCTAGGAGCAAATTAATGAGATGATATACCTGCCACAATTTGTGAGCTACAGTAGCAGGACGAGGGGTGGGGGAAGGGACGGATGCAAGCAAAGTGCCTCTGATGATGAACATTACACACAGAGCCTTTTCTTGTAAGCATTCATTTCCAGGCACTCAAGCAGAGCTTCCTATATTCTTTTGAAAGATGGCAAGCGGCACTTCCTGGCTGCCAGATACACCAAGATACCTTTATATTAGAAATGTTTTAGAAAGGAAATTTACAGTGAAGTCTCTGCCTGCGCTTGGACTTCCATGTTGCTTTTCACTTTGCTTCGATGCTGCCTGGTTTTGTTAAGAATCCTGACCCCTGGCCAGAAAATAAAGGAATGGAACACAGTGAGAATAGCACATTGCACCTGCTTGCCGAGAGGGGAGTGCTGATGGTTTTCTGGGAATGGGGCTGAATCCAGGCAATGAGCCTATAGGCAGGAGTGCATTCACTCCTGCTAGCGCCCTGCAGGGGTTAAGCACTCTGGGGTCACTTTCACTGCCATGGCTTCCCTTAAGGCTTCCTGAGAACCATAGTTTGTTAAGGGTGTTGGGAATCATAGCTTAGGCAGGTGGGTCACCTGATGAGGGTGCTGAAAGTTAACAAACTACAGTTCCCAGGATTCTTTGGAGGAAGCTTAAAGTGCCTTGAATGCATGGTGTGAATGTGGTCTGTATTAGCTCACGGCCCTTGGTACATGTTAGGCTAGGATGTGACAGAGCTACTAGATTATTTTACAAGACAGACTTTTTAATGGACTAAACTGACAGCTGCCTCAGGTTTTGAAAAACTAGGTTAGGCTGGTACAAATTAAGCAAATGGCAAACTGGCAACCCCAGGCATGTGCAAATGAGCCGTTTCTTTCAAAGATTGGGTTCTTTGGATTCAGCTTGCATGAGAACCATGACCTCTGAAAGAAAGTGCTTTCTTTCCTCAATTGCAGGGATATGGACAGTCATTACTCAGGCAGCATGCAGGTTGTTTAGTCAATTAGTCGTGTCTGACTCTTTGTGACCCCATGGACCAGAGCACGCCAGGCCTCCTGGAGTTTCATCAAATTCATGTTGGTCGCTTCTGTAACACTGTCCAACCATCTCGTCCTCTGTCGTCCCCTTCTCCTTGTGCCCTCAATCTTACCCAACATCAGAGGTTTTTTCAGAGTCTTCTCTTCTCATGAGGTGGCCAAAGTATTGGATCCTCAGCTTCAGGATCTGTCCTTCCACTGAACACTCAGGGCTGATTTCCTTCAGAATGGATAGGTTTGATCTTCTTGCAGTCCATGGGACTCTCAAGAGTCTCTTCCAGCAACATAATTAAAAAACATCAATTCTTTGGTGCTCGGCCTTCTTTATGGTCCAGCTCTCACTTCCATACATCACTACTGGGGAAACCATAGCTTTAACTATACAGATCTTTGTCGACAAGGCAGCATGCATACCATACATTTAAACACATTTTCCCTCCTATACCCCAAATCCCAAGAACTGTAGTGCTTAGAATTGCTGCTTTGTGTGGGTGAACTATAGTTCCCAGGATTCTTTGGAAGGTATGTGCTTTAAATGTGTGTTGTGTATGTAGCCTCAGGAAAGGCCTTCTCCACATGCACAGAGCCACTCTGTAAGACGGATGAGAAAATGTTTGGTGGGTTCTCAGACTTTTGTTGACTCTGTAATGCTTTTTGTTGGGATCAGAAACTGGAGGCCCTGGAGCCAAATACAGCTACAATGAGGAGCACCGTCTCTTCTGTTTCCCAACCAGAGGCAAGAGAGATGTGTGAATGGAGAGGCGGATGTGACAACAGTATGGACAGTCCACTTTATGAGGCCTGGTCAACCACCCACAGTGCCTCTCCTCAAAGGTGACCCTCTTGTCAAAAAAACAGATCAAAACTAGTTACTGTCTCCTTGGCTCTGTTACTGCCTTGACGGTCTCTTCTGTTGCAACGGAAGCCATCCTCTTTCAACAAACATCACTCTCCCTGTCATATATATAAGACAAGAGACATTTTCCAACTGAAGCCATGAGCAGGAGCACACCTGATGGTCATCGTTGGGGCAGGGACAAGGCCCACGGGAGAAGCATGAAGGATGGGCATTCAAGAGTCTTGCATTGAGGGATCCAGGGGGTCATCCACTACCTATCCTCACCCTACCCGTGTAACCCTACTACTGAGGGCTTGTCCACACTTCTGCTTGTCCTGGGCCTGGAAAGCCTGGGGCTGAGCAGTTTTCCGCTTGTCCTGTACTTTCCAGGCACACGTCTGAATGGCTTTGCCCTTTCCCCAGGAAAACCCAATTGCCATTTTTTCCGATTGAGCACAGAAGAGTGGGTTTTCCTGGGTGAAAACTGCAGGGCAAAGTAGGTGTGGATGAACTCTATGCTAGAGAGTGGCTTAGGACTGTTCTTGTTTAGTTTTGGGGATGTTTCAGCCAGTTTCCAAAGAACCATGCGTTTGCCATGTGCCAAATTAAATATTCAAAAGAGACACCTACAAAACCGGAGTGTTTGGCTTGACGATGATGCACAGCCCCCAGCCCGTCATGCTCTGACTGGAAACCGCTGTGATCCAGACATAGGCAACCGATGCCAGGAACGATTGATGGCTTTAATTACTGTGTGTGTTTGTTTATCAGCCACCATCTGAGCTCAGAGGGGGTTGCATTCTGTCTTAGTATACATCCACATATAAATATCAGGGCTGTCTTTCGCATCCCGATTTCCAGAGAAGTGCTTTGTGAGAAACACACTTTTTCAGAATGGGCAGAGACCGCAAAGCCCTCTGTGGCCAGTATTGAAATATCTTTGCCTGTTATGGTAAATGTCAGAAATCTGGGGAATGTTAACTTTTACCAATAATATTTAACATTTTAGGAGGCCACTGATACTGTTGGAAAATTCTGACATTTACAATTCAGTCTCACGGACAACCGTCATCTCTAGGCTAATAACTGAAAAGCAGTTTCTAAGTTTTGTGACACACAATGATTTCTGACATTCAAAAACAATGATATTTAAGCTACAGTCCTATCCCCGAGTTCCTGGGAGTAAGTCCCATTGAATTCAGTGGGATGTTTTTACGAGGCAAAAGTCAGCACAGCAATGAATGTAATTTTTACCTTTAGTCAGTAGGCCAGTTCTTGCGCTCACTTCTCATCCTTATCCAGCCAAGCAAGAGGCATTTTCCAACACAGTCCAGCCAGGCGGAAACACTCCAGGAAGGTGTATCTGGGAAGGTTCCAAGGGCCAGAGAAAGAGGTATGGAGGGCCACCACTGGCCCTGCACCTCAGCTTCCCTGTCCCTGCTAATGGCCAACTCTCAAGGGGTACAGCTTGGGGATGGGGCTGAGGAGGGGCTGTGGTGTGGGGAAGGTTCTGGAAAACTTGGAGGGCCACATAGAGCCTCTGGGCCTGAGGCTCATAACCCCTGCTCTAAACCAATGCATTGCCTCACTCCCTCTTTGTTCCTTGCTCTGCCACAAAGCAGAGAGCATCATGGCTTTGCCCAGCACACACAGTGCAGTCATTGGTAAGCAAAAGGCGTGGCTCCTCCTGGATAGACACTCCTTGAAAAGTTGCCAAATGCCTGCCAAGAAATACGTTCCCCAGTCCTGCAGGGCTGGCTTTAGTTGTGTCCCCAGCAACACCACCTTGAACCTAGCCGTGATGAAGACAACAAGAAGACTGAGCAAGCGTTTGCAAAAGGAGAGCTCATGTTGCCTTACAAGGGCTGAAGCAGGGGCAAAACTAGTCTTTTTCACCAGGGTCAAAGACCCTGTTTGGTACCCCCATGCACATTTGCCTACACACACGCCAGGAGCCTCAATGGTGCCCCTCTGGAGGCTTCACCCGGGGCAACAAAACTGGCTAGTGCCCCCCCCACCCCGAGCTCTGGCTTAAGGCACATCAAAGAGGCTGATAAAATCCAGGCTGTCCACTGACTTCAACCCATGGATGGAAGGAAAGGGAGGGCAACCAAGAAAAGCCAGCTTTATTGACTGCCATGGCCCCCATTCTGCTCTCCAGGGCATTCCTGGCCTTCGCAAGGAACAGCGTGTTG